TGTAATGAATTTGGATGGATTTGGGGTTGATTTGAGTTGTTATTTGTGTTTTATTTGGGTAATGTGTAATTTTCAGATTGAATTGTTGGTTGAATTGATTTGATTGGTCTCTTATTCAATGGGATTGTATTAAGATTGATTGAGAGATTGAATCGTTGGTTGAATTTGGTGAAATTTAATGTTTAGAGTACTGTTATCAATTGTGCAGTGAATGATTGTATGATTAATTATGCACATTGTTAGAATTGCAATAATGCACATGTTGTACCTCCACAAGGGATCGATATGCCCGACTAGCTAGATCGAAATACCTTTAAAGTACATACATATGCTTATATACATGTTACCCATTAGTTAAGAAGGTTATCATTGTATGAAGAAAACAACGAGTCAGAAAAATTATGCATACTTCTCTTAAATCTGAATTAACTAATTCATTACAAGATCTTGCAATTGTTGAAGTAATGTCTGCAATGAACATAAATTCATTTACGGATACTTGAGTACTTTAGTGGTGCACATAAGAAAGAAAAGCATATACATGTATTGTAAAGGTTTATGCCTTCCCAATCGCTGTCATTTTCTAAACCATCAATGAAGTGAAGAAGTGCTAATAGAAGAAGTATTTTCATCGAGTTCCTTAATTGCCTAATCCATCAAAGGATTGAGTGAAGTTGACCACATTCAAAGATACATGTTACTACATAAATAATACCTAAGCAGTCACCAATCATACCTTGATTGTCAATGCTCGTATCCAGACACATTGTTACATACCTGCGTTAAATAACAATATACTGCATAGTAGTTTTTACGTACCTATAATATGATCTTATATGCTCCAACAACGAGTATCTATGCCCGGGTAACTTGTTCTTGGAAATCAATCATTTTTAATTTGAAACATTCAATTGTTGTTACTAATCATGGATGAATTCATCATTATAGTGTTCTTGCGGATTCTAGAACTATATAAAAAGATTTATAAAAACACATATTTACTACGGATTGATAAACAAGATAGAAAATACTCGGTTGGAATGACATTGAAAATATAAGAATAATACAAGTTGTAGGATGTAATCTATTATGCACCAATATACCAATAGTTCTATTGTAGTCCAAACAAGTCTCATTCTTATATAATTGTGTCATTGAAAGTAAATTTAATCTCATAATAATACTACTGACACGATCAATAATTTTAATAAAATTAATCTTGAAAAGTACTTTATATCCACATGTTAATGGTAACCGGGGATGAATTAAACAAGATAATTGTTTTTACCAATTTTTGGAGTATTAACATGCAAAGAGTACATGTTTACAAGAATCCAATGGGAAAACACTACTATACATCATTGCTATCACAGAATGATTGTTATTTAAACCTATTACATAGTAATCCATAGCGTAGCACACACAACAACATTCGGTCCACCGAGGCTAAGAGAGGAAATGCTCTCACCAAGTTTGCGAATCAATCCCTCTGTGTGGAATCGACTGAAATCAACTAAATTCGAGGATACCTGATACTACATAGATAATACCTAAGCAACCATTATTTATACCTCGCTAGTTGGTGGTTGTACTTGGATAACACACATACATATTTGCATAAAAACTCTACATACCCTGGAACAAATCTTATGTACCTATAATAATAGTTTCATATGCTTCAATAACGAGTATATATGCCCCGGTAACCTGTGGTTGGGGAATAAGTCATTTTCAGTTCGAAATATTCATTTAATGTCAGTAACCAGGGATGAATTTATCATGGTAGCGTTCCCATGACACTCTGAATTGCATAAAAGGGTAAATAATATATATTTACTATGAGTGGTTAAACAAGTCATAAATGACTTAGTGTATGATATATGTAGTCCAACCTCCACTTGTAGATGTCTAAAAAAGTCGTAGTGACTAAGTTAAAATTATATTAGTTGTTAGAGTACATAATTGTTGCCACAAATTAAAAATGTGACTAAGTTCAATTATATTGGTTGTTATAGTACATGATTGTTGCCACAAATTAAAAATCTTTAGACCTATTACATAATAATCTACACTGTAGCACACATAACAACATTCGGTTAGGAGCATATTTGCATAGAACATGACTCGACTAATAAGACGAGTACTCCAGAGTAGCTCCGTCATACCCAAACCTAGCTTGGTGTAGGAAATCCTACTAGTTGTGTACCTACTGCTACTTCATTTAGAGAATTATCTATCGCTGTAGGAACTCAAATAAATTCAAATATACCTGCTACTTTACAAATAATACCTTTATAATGTATATATATACTCATAAATTCAGTGTTAATACTTGAGTACTTTATTCACGTAACTACATACATTATCTTTATGTCTTGTTTCATTTTTCACATATCTATATACACATATTATATACTCCAGATACACATACTTATGCCCACATTTCGGTTCATGTACCACGGTGCAATTAATTTATAAACAAGTTTCAAAGCAGCTTTGGATCTTGCTATTGTATATTTACATGATACATTTTCGAAGTGACGATGATATGGCCAGATAGTTTGCTGGGCATAAGCTATTCAATCTCAAAACCAACTGATTAAAGTGGAACATCTAAATCCTTAGTCTTGGATAATGATGACGATGATTGTGGTTGCCTTCTCAATCTATCCTTCAATTGTCTTCGAACACAACAAAACAAAATTAAAATCCATCTTATCTTAAATTAGATCCAGTCATTCAAAAAAACTTTTATATAGTACAAACCTAAGAAAGATCAACAACTATTATAATGTAGACAAAGAAAACACACGAGCAAAACACCCAAAACCATGTTTTTCAGATAAGAAAAGTAACAAAAAGTAGAATATGATCGGTTATTGTAGAATTTCTTTAAAAATTGATATGGATATCAAACCAAATGAAAACTAGACAAACATCAATAAAGGATTTGGATGAAACTCCACTAATTAAACCTATATACATACATAAATAAAGTCAATGTTCGTTAGCCTTCAAATATCTCAACTCCATATATTTTAAACAGAATTTCAAATATCTCAACTCAATATATCCCAAATATTACAAAACTAAATAATTAAGTAAATAAAAAAATAAAGTATAATAGAGATAACTAGCAGATTCTTCTTGTCTATAGCCAACAACAATTCATCAAAATGTTCCAAAGGAAAAGAAAGCATTATGTCCAACCAAATCTGATTTTGTAACAACAACTAAACTTAAGAACAAATCCAACTCAATTTGAATTTTATCAACATAAAAAAATAACATCATCCCAAATCATTTTCATCTCAAAAATATCAAATCAAAGTCTGATTACATTTACAAAAACAAAACACAAACAAACAAATCATTAGCTAAAATACGCAACACACATAATCAGAAAATAAAACCGCACCTCTTTGTAACCACTTTGCACGACGATTCTTTACCAAACTCAACATTGCAATCAACAAGAACGATGAAGTGCAACTAAAAAAATCAATTATATGAAAAATTCCAGCAAAGTCAGGATTTGGTGTGCAATAAATAGAAACAATTAAAAATTAGGGGTACTGTGAATTTATACCCGGATTGATGGATTCTTCGAAATAAACCTCGTAAACAAATATACAAATTAAATTAATGGAAGCAAAATTTGAATAAACCCAATAATGACACCGAACCGAAGTTGAAATTAAACCAAAATAGTAAGATTAAAATATAATTAAAAACACTGCATCATTGGAATTAAGAGTGTAGAAATCATAGAAATTAAATCAAGCAAACATCACTCAATTCGTTAAAGCTAAAAACAAGTAATCTTGAATCAACGAAACCAAACAAACAAAACCTAAAATTATATTGAGAAATCAATTCAATTCTCATGTTTGTACTTTGATATTGCCCAACCGATATCAAATTTCGATTCTTCCTGGTTCGGTTCTAACTTTCCGACGAGACTCAAAAGACAAAACTCTTTCCAATCGACGAACCCTTGAGTTGATTTAATCATCTATTTCAACCAAGATAAGGGGAATGAGAATATATTCACAGCGCCATGAATTGCAAAGGCTTCAGGGAGAGAATCATTGAACCTGTAAACCCTTCGTCGATCTTCGATGGACGGAGGACAACCGGAGTGATGGCGGAAGATATGAAGAGAGAAATAAGACTTTGAGAGCGTTGTACACTCGCCGACCGGACAGTAGTGTTGATTTTGCGATCTTCAGTAACTGGTTGCCAATTTTTTTTTTTGTCAATTTTGCACGAAAAATAACAGGAGATTTAGGAAGAGAAAATTGAGATGAGGAAGTGAGAAATAAGTGAAATAAAAAAGAAGGGAGTGCAGTGTAAGAAATTAATAACGGGACTGATTTTAAATGAATTTGTGGATTTAGGAATTTAACTCCAATTGCCTGTTAAATTTATTCTATTATTATACTTAAAAAATAAGAAATTATTATTTAATTATTACATTTATGCCATTAATTTTATAATATTATACCTTCAATCTTTTTTATTATTAACTAAATTTATAAAAGTATTTTTCAACTATCTTTTTATTTTTTATTTTTTTAATAAAATATTTATTTTTTTTAATTTTTATATAGAATTCAAATGGACTAATTATGACGGATAGAAAAAGTATTATTATTGTGTTTTCTTCATTTTGTGTTTTTAATGTTAATTATAAAAATAGTATATTTAGTAATATATATTAAAATTTTGATTTTTTTAAGTAATTATATATATTATACTATTAATTTATATGTATATAATATTTTTTTAATAATATTTATATGAAATCGATTCACTTAAAGCAAAAAAAAAAAAAAAAAAAAAAAAAAAAAAAAAAAAAAAAAAAAAGAGGATTATTGAGCAAACCCGTTATTAGTATTATTTTGTCTGTGTAATAATGCATAAATATTTAGAAGAAATAAATAAATAAAGCAATAAGCATCATAAATTGCCTTATCCATCTCACATTTTACACCACACAAATAAATACTATAATTCGTTTTTTCTTCCAAAAAGAAAACAGAAAACCAAACCAAACCAAAAGAACACATCTATGGCTTCCGCCGCCGCGCCTCCGCCTCTCACTTTCCTCGCGCTCTCGGCCTCATCCCCGCCGCCGCCGCCGCCGCAAATGCTCCCAGTGAAGCCCCTTCTCCGGCCGGTGCTCCTCCTCCGGCCAATAGCCCTAATCAGATCCGTAGACGTCTCCAAAGAAGACCAGCCGACGGCGGAGGCGGAAGAGGAGTCGCCGGAGCAGCAATTGGAGCAGCGGCGCGTGGAGGAGAAGTTCGCGGTGGTGAACACGGGGATACACGAGTGCCGGTCGTGCGGGTTCCGGTACAACCAGGCCGTCGGGGACCCCTCGTACCCGATCCCGGCGGGGATGCCGTTCGAGCGGCTGCCGGACGACTGGCGGTGCCCGACGTGCGGCGCGTCGCAGAGCTTCTTCGAGAGCAAGAGAGTGGAGATCGCGGGGTTCGAGCAGAACCAGCAGTACGGTTTTGGGGGGAACTCCCTCACCTCCGGCCAGAAAGCTTTGCTCATCTATGGCGGATTGATATTGGGCTTCGTCTTCTTCCTCTCTGGCTATTTTCTGCAATAGAATTCAATTCAATTCATTACTCATTCCACTCTCTGCACATTCTCTCTATCTCTTTCAATATATATATATATATATAGTTACTTCGAGATCATTTGTTATTACCAAATTATCACTTTGTTTAACCAAATTTTGGATCGAAAATTCAACAAGTTTTTCTTTTACAAAATTAAAATTGAAATTGAAATTGAAAGAAAAAGCATCTAATATGATTCATTCAATCACACCTCACGATATTGTGAATATGCTTTTGATGGTATTATTGATCTTGTAAGAGGATGGATATTGTGTCGAGTAATTCCTCAATTCGCATTTGTTAACTCGGCACGTTTCTTTGGTTATCGATATTGTGTATCATATTAGTTTTTTTTCTTTTGTTTTTTTAGGCTCAAATTGTATATTTAGAAATAATTTTTTGGCCCATCGAAAATATTTTGTTTAAACTTTTTATTCAAATAATATTTGATGTAAAAAATTTTATATATCTTTGTTCACTAAAAAAAAATTGTACACAAAGATTAAAAATAATATATTTTAATATTGAATTTGGGTATATAAAATATAAAATAAGATATTATAAAATAATTATTAAAGAATTGATAAAAATTAATGAAGTAAGTAGAAAAAATAGTAGACATTTAGTTATTATATGTTAAAATAAGTATAATAAAATGATAAGTGAATAAAGTTGTTTATTAAAAATATATTGTACAATACAATCGAAAAATTAATAGTGGCGTAATTTAGCCGGACCGAAATAGTATAATTATTTCAAGAATTGCTTAGACTATCTACAATCAAGATATCCATCACAATATCTCCTTAACTTTATTTTATACTCTCTTTCTTTCAACTCAACAAAAAATATATATTTATATTTATATCAAAATTATATATTTTTTAAAAGCAAATTTTTTTAAAAAATATATCAATATCATATCATTGTGTAAAACATAAAATTTTATATAATATATAAATATAAAAATAACAAAAAAAATAAATACAATTATAATAAATTTATAAAACTTAGAAAAAAAAAAAAAAAGACATCTCCTGGAAATTTTTAATTTTTTTTTTAATTTTTGTTTACTGGCAGTGATGTGGATGAGAGAGATATCCGACTGATGTCCTTACCATCAGCAATGTAGATACTTCTTTTACATGTCATTTTTTATCTTTTTGTCACATCAGCAACAATATTATACTACCTCCGTCCCATATACCGGGTCTGCTATACTGTAGACACGGTATTTTAGGAGGGGTGTAATTAATAGATAATTAAGAATATATTAGTGAAAATAATTATCCGATAATATAAATAATTATAAATTAAGATTAAAATAACTAATTAGTTTAATTAAAATTTAAAAATAAATAAAATTAAAAAGTTTAAAATGAGATTAAAGTTTGTAATCATTTTCCAAAAAAAGAAAGTGATATAGTATATGGGATGGACAGAAAGGCAATGTGGACATGATATGTGGGACGGAGGGAGTAATTTATTTTATACTTACAACGAAAAAATTCATTTCAATATTTTTTATTAATTTTTTTTCATATTTATACATACTATATTGTTTTATAATTATATATTTTTTATTTTGTAATTAATTAGTTAATTATTATTATTATTATTATTATTATTATTATTATTATTTTGTCAATAATTGGATTTATTAATAATTTATAGAAACAAAAGATTTTTATTATTTTTTATTTAATTACGTTAATTTTTAAAATTTGTATTATATTATTTTTGTATTGTATTTTTATTATTATGCTTATTATCTAATAAAATTAAATTATTTTATTAATATTGATTTGTTAAAATTATATAATATTTGTATTTATATATTTTAATACTCCCCCGTCCCATAATTATGTATCTGTTTATTTTTTGTACGGAGTTTTAAAAATATTCGTATTATATTGGGATGTAGTAGGAATAAAGTAGAAATGACTAAAATAATCCTATTAGTATTGTGTGATATAAATGAAATAACATTTGTGTAATATTAGATAGATAGTACAATTACTAAAAAAGAAAATGAATACTTTGTTACGAGACAACCAAAATGAAAAAATGGATAGTTTGTTATGAAATTGAGACAATATTAAAATTAATCAAATATATTGATATTGGTATTATTTTTTAGAATAAAATTTATTATAAATTATATTAATATATTATAAAATTAAAATTTTATAATAAATTTAATATAAACTTTTAAAAATATATATTATATATTTGTGATGTGTCCCAATTTAATTAAGATATAAAGCAAAAGTATAATATTTCCCCACATTTTTCCTCTTTTTTACATTTTTTTTTTTCTTGTTAAAGATAATATGGCGTATATCCTCAAAAGGAGATGAACCCGTTGTGGATATTTGAGTATCATCACTACTCTTTACTTTACACGTCACTTTCTTTTTTTTGTTATATAAGCGAATATACTCTATTTTATTTTATGCTTAAAAAAAAAAAAAAACTCATTTTAAAACTTTTTTTATTAGTTTTTATTCCCAATTATATATACATATATTATTTTATTAATTTTATTTTTAATTTTGTAATTAATTAATAAATTATTAGTATTATTTGTCAATATTTTGATTAATTAATTATCTATGGAAACAAAAAAGTTATACTCCCTCTGTCTATCCAGACAATATATATATTTTTATTTGAATTGTCCAATTAAAAAGTAATTGTTTCGTTAGATACCATACAAAGCATAAGTAAGAGCAAAATTATTTTTAAAATAAATGTAGACTAATAGAGTATTATTTATTATTCAGTTCAGTTTAATTTATTTTCAATTTTTAGTTATATTATTTAATTATTTTTTTGGTTATATTTTTATATATTATGATTATTATTGATTAATTGAAAAAATAAAATATAAAAATAATAATAAAACTTTTTGAAGAGAATATTATATTACAAATACAATATAAATATTTGAAATTAAAATAAAAAAATAACATAAGTATTCATTAAACCAAATTTTAATACTATAATTTTATATTATATATTTGTGTTAAAATTTATAATATATTTTATTCAATAAATTAAATTATTTTGTTAATATTGACTTGCGTAATAAAATTAAATGTCATTTGTATTTATATATTTTAAAATTTCAATTAATAAGATATATTCGATATTAGTTTTATTTTGTAAAATAAAAAATATTATGAATTATAAAAATATTATAAAATTAAAAAATAAAATATATAGTATATATCATATATATGTATTATACGTCTTATGCAAAAACATAATACTCCCTCCGTCCCAAACAAAGTGCAACATTTATTTTTGGCACGGGTTTTTAGGTGGATAGTATTAAGTAGAATAATTTAGAAATTAGGTGATGTAATGGAAAGAGAAATATATATTTTATTTTTTTATTTGAATGATGTGAGGAGATAAAGTGTGGGGTAGAAATTAAATATAATTAATTATTTTCTATTTTAAAAATATTGCAGGTGTTTTGGACATACAAAAAAAAAATGTTGCATATTGCAGGATACTTGGGACAGATGGAATATCTGTCTAGCATTTACACAGAGATGCTAGGGAGTAAATATCTCACATTTTCTTTATTATTATTATTATTATTTTAAAAATCTCACATTTTTTTTTTTATTTTTTATTTTTATTTTTTTACAAATTGCGATGTTGCGCTGCGCCTTTACCGGTTGTCTTAGTTTAAATTGTTACGATTAAAAAAATAAATCCAAAGAAATATAACGTAGACTCCCTTTATATATATATATGTAGACATTATTTAAGAACAATATATTTTTTTGAAAAAAAAAAAAAAACTATATCACACTAATTATTTTTTTAAAATAAAATATCAAATTAATTTTTTTTTTTTCCGTAACTCGTAGTTTGCTTTTTAAACTTAAATTTCCGCTATTCAATTTGTATAATTATAAAAAATACTCCCACAATAATCTCATTGAAATGTTACCATTTTTTATTTTTGTCCATCCCAAAACAAGGTTACCATTTTACCTGCCTAACATAATAAATACCCTTTCAAGTTACAATATATTACACAAATGTCATTACTTTTATATTACACCATACTAATAGGGGTATTTTTGTCTTTTTCACTACAATCCAATATAATACTAATATTCAAAAAGTTACGTGCAAAAAACAACTGCCACCATTTCAATGAGACCGAGGGAGTATAATATTTTTTCTCACAACAAATCAATACTAAACTCAAATCACAATTGGATTTGTTTGATTTTGATTCGAAGTTGAATACTCTCTCATCCACTAAAATTAGCTCATTTGGGCTCGACACGGAAATTAAGAAAAATGAATATTTTATTGAAAAAGTAATAGGTAGTTTGGAGTATTTTTGAAAATTTAATTAAAAAATAAAGTAAATGAAAAGAGATAATAGAATAAAGTTAGTGGTATTTGTTGTAAATAAGTGTTGAATGAAGAGTAATAATTAAATGTTGGTTTGCTGACTTTCCCAAAATTAGTATTGTGATAAATTTAGTGGACGAACTTAAAAAAAAGTGAGAATAAATTTGGTAGACAGAATGAATATTTTATTTGAATTTTGATTTAAATATTATTTGATATGTGATATTTTATAAAATAAAATAATATTTTTTTATTAAAATTATGAACTAAATAAGATTGATCTATATTTAAAATAAATAATAGTAATAGAAACAAACCATTTTACATCTCCAATTTTGGTGATTATAAATTAGAAAATAAATTAGTTTTAATCATATGAAACTAACGGTAGCAAAGATCTACAGACAAGTTAACATAAATTAATTTTATAAAAAATAGATGAAAGTGATTAATATATATTTTTTTCGTTCTCAAAATATATGGCGCAAATAGTACGAATTTAATAAAAATAAAAATTATTATTTATTTTTTATAGTAAAAAATATTAAAAAATATATTTTCTATTAAAAATGAATATTTTTTTTAGTGATAACTCAATAAAAAAATAATATAATATTGGATAACAAATGAAATACTATATATTGTCGTGTTCTTTATAATATATATTTAATAAACTAAAAAGAAATTACAAT